TTAAGTGAAATTCAAAAAGAAGAGTAGCTTTCAGTCTTGCTGGGTGCATCTACATGTTCATTATTAATGTGCCTTAGATACTGCACATTTAGTTTAGTACTTGCTTAGTAAAGTACTAACGAAATGCACAGCAATTAGACTTACTGTGCAGTAGCGCCATCACACAGGTGTTTTGTGATGCTTATTGTGCATTAGCCTAATAACACTGCCCAGCAGCCTATTAGCATGTTTTTAATTGCCACGCTACTGCACAGTGATATTAAACTAATGTGCAGTAAGTGCCTCGTGTAGATATGCCCGCTGTTTCCTTTAGTGCCCTCTCCCACAACACCTCAATTTCTGAACAAGAACAACTTGGATACTGAACACTGAATCAGGTAGGGTGAAGTGTGAGATTATTCCAATGTGTAACAAACAATTATCTCTACTGACCTGCATCTGTTACTTCCACTTTCAGGGTATAGTTAGAAACTATGTGCTTGTTTAATGAAGAGCTCCTTAACTGGAATGTCCCAGCTTCTTGCTGAACAATGAATAATTTATCAACAGGAATTTTGGGGTTCTGATCCACAATATGAAACTGCAAGCGAGAATTAAGAGTGCCTTGTTCATCTATGTCTGAAGCTTCCAGAGTTCCAATAACACTTCCTAGGGTCAAGGAAATATAGACATTAGTCAGATAACATATTTTCCCCACTTCCCCACAGAATGAAATACAAAGAACCTCAATAGCGATACAAATATTGGAGAAGCAATACAATCCTGAAAAGAAACACAGTAGATTGACTTAAAATATGTGGTCTGACTTAGCCAACAGTTATAGGGCTTGATGCAGTTATTACTGGGAGCGATTTTATTGCTTGTATTATGCACTGTGGTTAGAGTAAATGACCATTGCAGACAATCCTGGTCTTAGCAATGAATAAATAATATGAAGACTTTGGGATAGTTTTAACTTACAATTCCACTGGAATCAGTGAAGTCATGTCTGTGCACATAAGGGGGAAAGAAATGCAATTACTCAATTAGAGCAAGTATTTCTCAATTAGAGCAAGCATATCTTGTATTTTAATAAAGAAAGGGGAATTCTTTTTTACAACTTAGCAGTGGAGCAAAACTGAGGCTGTGGAAGATAACAGTGTTATAGTCTAAATACAATCACATTTGAACACTGAAGGTTTGATTCAGCTTAATCACTGAAGGTTTGATTCAGCTTAATTACACTGACTTAGTTTTTTTTACAGTTGTCAGTGAGATAGTGCATGAGTAAGCACTCTACCTACAGAATGCCTGTAGCTGCAGAAGGCCCCAAAATGATAGCTTTAATCCTGTTTAAGGGAAACGGCATTCAGACCGAGAGAATGCTTTTGCAGTATAGGATCAAAAAATATTTTCTTACCTACATTTTCATTCTCCTGAACTTCAAATATGGTTAAAGCTTTCTGGCACACAGGTGGATTATCATTAACATCTTCCACCACAATTTGAATTTCCAAAGGCTTGTCTAGTATTTCTCCTTGTTCATCTTTTGCAGTTGCATAGAAGGCATACTGCAACAAGAATGGCAAAAGGCAAACACTATAATAGTTTAGACTGAAAAGGACAACAATGAAAGCCTTGTTAGAAAATAAAAGATCCTTTTGCACATTTGGTCAGTATTTCTGTACTACTTACAGGTTCTTTGATGATCCCTATTTCCTTAGTATTTGAGTCAGATTCTCCATATATTTGAGGGTCTGGGTCTGGGTCTGGGTCCAGGTGCCTCAGAACTGATCAGTGAATTTATTTTTTCAACACCCAAGAGATGTACAAATATATTATTATGTTCATTTCACTAGATGAGTAACAGAGCATGATTTACCTTAAGTCACAAAAGAATGCCTGTATGACAGTATGACTATAATATAGTCTGCAGGGGAAACCCTAATTCCAGTAGATGTCCATGGGAAAAGTCCCATTGATTTCAGTGGTCCAAGATGTCACTGTAGAGCACAGTCTAGTCCCAATCCAGAGTCTATGGTTATGGATAACTGTGTACCTGAAACGGCTTCAACATGGCATGGTGAGCGGCTGCTCAGGAATGCAATGCAGCTGTTATGGTGTAACTTATGTGTGCATGAGCCTGTAGCGCTACAAGTGAGCTAAACTGCCCCAGCTTTAACCATGGATGAGGCATAGTCAACCTTGGAGCAGTTTTGCTGTAATTGTAGTACTCCACTTACAGCATAACAGCTACTTCTCATTGTTTTTTGGAGGTTTTTCCAAAAGAATCAGTCTTTTTTCCCACACCCTAATGATGATGTGTTGGTATGGGATCAACGAATTCCCAGGCAAATGCTGACTATGCCTTTACAGGAAATGAAAAGAGAAACATTCTGGGAAAAAGTGTTTTTTTCAAATTAAACATCAATAAAAAAGATCATATAAAATTGATCTGTACATGCTGACCAATTGCTGTTCAGTATTTTATCATCTCTTTCAGCACCGAAAGCTAGGTTTAGGTCCTGAAAACTTATAATGTATATAATCTTTTTCTTAGCTCAGTCAAAAGTATGAAATTATTTTCCTTGTTCAATAATTATTGTCAAAAAAACCACATTTAACACCCAAATAGACTAGAAACTTCACATAATGACAGCCTGTCCTTGGGGTTAATTCAAAATGCAAATTTTTGTTTATCCATTACTACAAGTCAGATCCTGGCCTTTGCTTTACCAGTCACCAGAACAAAGCAGTCATTCAGCTGGTGGATACCTGTGATTCACACATCATGAGGGAGCCTCAGGTGGTGGCAGGCCACCAGAACAGCTCCTATGTCCAACATCTTTGCCAAGTCTCCTCTTTAGTGGGGGGACTATGGCCAGGGGAAAGAGAGATTGGGAACAGTGCTGTTAAACTCTAGTGATTCCCAGTTGCCCTGAAGGCCCCCAAGAACCATGGAGAAGTGGCACAACTTAAGAGCAGGCCTTGGGCTACAGTGGTGATTCAAGCTCACACTTTGACTTAACATATGATTTTAATTAGGAAAGGAAAATGAGTTTGCACAGTTAAATCCTAGCCATAGGATATATGTTACACAAAATATATATAACTCTTCGTTCCTCTTTGTAAAATGTAGGAATGCATTTTGGGAGAGAGAGAACTGGAAAACATCTATTGCTATCCTAACAGGAAATGCATTTATTCTTTTTTTATCTGTTGTCAAAAAAATAAATCCCCATCCTATCTCCTGCAGAAAAGCAGAGGGAAGATTTCAGAGGTCTATGATTCCTAACCACAGAAAGCACAGTGCACATCTCAATCAGGTACTGTAATATTTTCTTGGTATATATCTCATATTCTATGTACATCAGTGTAGACTATGAACACTAAAAAGCACACAGAACCAGAAGAAAAATATAAATACTGAATTAAAGACTATTGGATAAATTAATATAATCAGGTGGGATGAACATGTTTGTTCTTAAATTGCATTAAATTCCATGTCTATCAACTCACTTGGATTCACCAAGAAAAAACATCAAACCAAACCTATCCTTCCTCTTTTTCTTCTGTCCACAACCAACTTTCATACATTTGTACACACACACAACTCCTCAACCTAAGATTATGGTTAGGTTTTACAAGTTTACTTACAAAATCCTTTTCTTCCCTGTCCAATGGTTCAGTCACATAAATAGTCCCGTTCTTATTAATCGTAAATGGGAACCTGGGCAACCTCTCTTTTGGAAGAAGTTCATATTTTGCATCTGGATCATTCCACTGTACCTAAAATTTAAAAAAATGAATCACAGTAAAAGACTTTAAAAACTGCAGGCTGAGCTTTAACAAGATTAAGTGGTGGCAACTGTCGAGCCTCCTGGATCATGGTATATGCATGAGGGCCACCCAGACCTTTGATGCATATGCCTGGTCAGAAATTTTTTGAGGCGTGGAGGCTGCCCACACCTTCTATCCTCCCTTTAGGCCACTGAGACAGAATCCAAAAAACAGACTGAGTCCCATAGGCAACATGTACGGGGGGATATGGGAGGGCACAATCCTCCAAGATTGGCCACCACTGAAACCACCGCTAGCTTCTGTGGGCAGTCACCACTCACTGAGTAACCCTGGATGTCACTTTTGTCTCTGTGATATCTCTTGATAAAACACCTTTTTTTAAAAGCACTTTGAGATCTACTTATCTGCATAGGAATAAGATACTACTATTAGAATGTCATAACACTAATTAATAACAGCTTCTCATACCAATCAACTCTTCTGCTTGTCCTTTTCATGTTTTTTCACCAAAGGTTGGATGCATGCATGAAGATATAAAGTGGATAGTCAAACTGTAGGAGTATGTGCACATATGTTTGTACAATACCTTCCAAAAATTATTGACATAGTCTGGCACAAATGGAAGTCTTTGGATACAGGAAACTTATTTCTTCATAAACATGTAAGACTTTTATCTATACAAATAAGTAGGAGCTGCTGTTTATGCAGTAGTGAATGAGACACCACCTTCTATTCCACAACTCCCCATAGAGAGAAGAGACATATCTGTGGGTTTCCCTAGGAAATTTTGATATCAATTATCTCAATATATAGTTATTACTTTTGCCTCATGTGATGTTATCTGGACTTTCTCGCACCTGCACTCACTTTGATCCTACTTGATCCTACTACCAAGTCAAAGGAAACACTCCTATTGACTTTAATGGAAGTAGAATAAGGTCTTCTGCATGTTGTTTAAAAAACAGCTGTTCTCAGGAGCAGGGTGTGTGGCATCTTGTAATACTCTGAAGATCAGAATAGTGTAGGATCCAGTTCCAAGTAAACTTTCAAAGTCAAACATTTCTGGGACGATGTTTGCCTATTGGTAAATATTTGCATACAGGTATGTTACTTTAGCTATGCTGTTATCATCAAAGTGTTCTGCATTTGCACCGCAGAGTATCAGAGAGGGTCAGTGTTATAATAGGGAATGAGGGAAATTGAAAGAAAGGAAGCTGTCTTGTCTACTAGTTTGAATGTAGCAATACATTAAAAAACTCAGTGGGTGTGTCTACACATGCTATAGTACAGAGCAATAAACTCTGGTGCATATTGTGCCAGAGTTTATTGTTCCCAGGTGCAGCATTTCATAGGTTCACAGATGTAGGGTTGGAGGGGACCTGAGCAGATCATCAAGTCCAACCATCTGCCCTGGGCAGGAATGAATACTGGGCTCATATGACCCCTACTAAGTTTAAGCTCATCTGACCCCAGCTAGGTAGTTATCAAGCCTCCTTTTAAAGACCCCCCAGGTAGGAGCCAGCACCACTTCCTTTGGAAGCTGGTTCCAGATCCGAGCCACCCTGACTGTGAAGTAGTGCCTCTTGCTGTCTAGCCTGAACCTACTCTCAGTCAACTTGTGGCCATTATTCCTTGTTACTCTGAGAGGCGCTCGGGAGAACAGGGTCTCACCCATTCCCCTCTGGTCCCCCCTGGTAAGTTTATAGATGGCCACTAGATCCCCTCTCAGCCTTCTCTTGTGAAGGCTGAACGGGTTCAGGTCCCATAGCCTCTCCTCGTAGTGCCTGCCCTGCTGCCCCCTGATCATGCGAGTAGCCCTCCTCTGGACCCTCTCGATGCTGACCTCATCCCTCCTGGAGTGGGGAGCCCAGAACTAGACACAGTACTCCAGCTGCAGCCTGACCAGTGTCGCATAGAGGGGGAGGATCACCTCTTTGGACCTGCTTATGATGCATCTGTGGACACATGACAAGGTGCAGTTAGCCTTGCTGACCACGTCCTCATATTGTCAGCCCACGTTCATTTTAGAATTGATAATAACTCCAAGATCTCTTTCTGCCACTGTGCTTTCGAGAAGGGAGTTCTCCAGCCTATAGATATGCTGATGATTCTTTCTGCCCAAGTGCAGTACCCTGCACTTGTCAGTATTGAATCCCATCCTATATTCGCCCACCCCTGTAACTTGTCCAGGTCCAATTATATCCTGTGGACTTCTAGCATGTCCACTTTGCCCCAAATCTTGGTGTCATCAGCGAATTTCACCCCCTCGTCCAAGTCACTAATAAAGAAATTGAACAGTGCGGGCCCAAGGACCAAGCCCTGGGGGACTCCACTGCCCACCTCCCTCCAGGTCAAATATGACCCATCCACCACCACTGTCCGGGTGCAGCCCCCTAGCCAGTTTGCAATCCATCTGACTGTGTAGGCATCAATGCCACAGTCACCTAGCTTTTTAATGAGCATGTGTTCCCAGGCCTGCAGCACATTGAGCTGGGTTGGAGCAGCCCCAGCTGGCAGAGGGCCCGGAAGGGTCAGCCTGCCATCCTGGGGCTGCTCTTACCTGGCTCAACATGCTGCGAAGGGACTGGGCAGAGCAAGAGAGTGCTCCAGTGTGGGGCTAGCCAGCAGGCAGCCCCAACTCTGAAGCACCCTCATGCCCCAGCCAGCCCCATCAGCATCTACACATGTGCTGTTGCACAGGAAATAACTCCACCATAGGATAGTATTTGTATTTACAAACACTAACCTGTGGAAGAGTTAATTAGTTTCCTGCAGCTTAATGGGGATGCATGTGTAGACATTGAGACTTTACTGTGGAGCTAATTAGGCAGCTCCTCAGTAAACATCTCATGTATATGTGCCTTATGGGGGACTGTTCACACCAGGAACCAGACTTAGAATGAGAGAACAGAAAGTAGGGCCGGGGAGGGGAGAACCTCAGGAGGTCACGTAGTGCAGGCCCCTGCAAAAGGAAGGGTCATCCTTTTCTAAACCATCTTATAAAAGTATTTGTTTAAACTGCTCTTAAAAAAATGCCAAGAACAAGTATAAAGTGACCCATGCACTGATCCCCTTCTAGGTTCCCATGTAGAAGAAAGGAAGCAGCCTAACACTTCTTTCAGATCAGGCATAGGCTGGCATGTATTGGCCATGTAACTGTACTGAAATCACCCAAGCACCTGGGACAGGACACCAGATCTTCTGGAGAAGGTCACAGCCTCTGCAAATATGACCTTAGTCCTCCAGCAATCCA